TGAGGGCCCCCCACCGACCCTGCCCTGGGTCATTGTGGAGGAGGTTAATCTCTACCGAACACGCTTTAAACAAGTCATTGTAATTTTCGATCATTAAACAATAACACTAATCATATTACCCAAAGATGCATATGAAGATATTAATGAACACACAATCAGTATTTAATTTTTCAATTGTATCTCCGTCAAAACTTCCAAGAAAAGAGAAACAACTATATTATGGCTGAGGCTGACTAATTATAACCTTTGATGTTTAAATAATCGCTTGAAACGTCTATCAAATTCCAGTGGGATCAAAAATTTCGAAATTTAATCCCAGCAATGAAAAGAATAAAAGAAGATTACATAATCCAATAAACAGAAGGCTACCCTAAACAACACTCTCTTGTGTTAGACATTTCCATGTGTAAAATTTTAACCTAAATACTCATCAACAAAAGAATAAATTCAAAATTGTGAAAAAAAGAAGTTATGGAGACTAGTTGCCAACACCGGGGCTAGGCACCGAACGGAGAATCCGGTCCATGGCAGCAAGGTGGCGGGCTATGAGCTTTTCATCAATGGTCACATCGTGACCTTTCTTGCTGGGTGCAGAATTGGGCACACTGCCTTTTGGAAGAGAAGTCAAATACAGCCTGTCGTCCATCGATGGAATTTTCTTCATAGTATTATGTTGAACGTCCAAGAGCTTACGACCGTGTGTATCCGACACGAAGGTTGAAAACATTATTAACGAGATCAAAAGTACTAAGGTTCTTTGAGCCATTTTACGTTGGTTGAGAGACAGAGAGGTGGTGAAAAGAAGAGAAATTTTATGGGTTCTGTTGGTCAGAGAGAGAGAGAGGTAATGAGGATTGATTTTTAGGTGTGGGTGTTGTGTATATATAGTGTTGAATTTGATAATGTATTGTCGCGTGGTAAAGAGTAAAAAATGATATACATGTAACATGATTGCAAATTGAAATGGTAACGTGTTCTTGCGGCACAAGTTAGTTGAGGCCAAGTCAAACTTGAAGTTTTCTGGGGAAGTTTAGTGGAGCAAGTCTAAATATTATTTTAATTTGAACTTTTTAGACTATGAGTCCATATTGGTAGGCAAGTCAAAATTATATAAAAACTAAAAAATTAAAAATAAATCATTTTATGCTATACAAATTTACCAACTCTATAAAAGGGGTCTCGGAAATATGAAAATCTCATTACATAAATTAAATACAGGTAAGGACCGTGTTGAATTTTTGCAGGATAGAATTTTCAAGGAAATGATTTAAGCAATGCGAATGGTGGGGGTGCGTTTGGAATGGTTTTGTTTTATGAAGGCCGCGTGGAAACTGAATTAGGTGGGGAGTGCCATTTTTCTTAGTAACTTATTGCATTTGCACCGTCAAACATTGAGTGAGATTTGAGATAAGAGACTAAGGATAGATTACTACTAGTCTACTAATAGGCA